CCTGAGCCGGTGAGATTTGAACAGCTGAACTGCAGAACTGCAGTCAGCTGAAGTAGCCTGCAGTGCTGCATTTAACCACTGCGTCACCTCGGCTCTTAAGTTGACAAGTCAACATTCACATGATGTTCTTCAAATTATGGAGAAGTTCAGTCCTTTTCAGATGTACTTCTCCCCTCTTTTATGAGAGAAATAAGAAAAATGAAAAGCAAAATCTATTGTTGCTTGAATTTGACTTCCATTTGAAAAGAACGAAGGCCATTTTTAACAAAGTATTCACAGCTAGCCACATATAAGCAAATATCCAGGTTAAGTAATTGTCTAATTGCACAGGTAATTAAGATAGGCAAGGGTATTGTAGTGGTTAGTGGAGGAATCCAATTATTAAGCCAATTTATTTCCCAAGGTTGCTGGGATGAAACAAGATAGGGTTAATAATACGTTTTAAAAACTGTTTCCTGCAACCTCAGGAATAGGTCTGTGAATATATGTTTCATTGCAACTATAATATGTTTTCTAAGAGCGGGCTGTAAAGCGCAAACAATATATAATTTACATAAACACTGAAAATAATTTTTCCATGCTGTAGAAATCTTTAAAATAGAACACAGCTGATTCTTATTCATCACTCTATCGATCTATCCACCCACCTAAAGTAAATATATATATATTGACATAAAGGCGACAATTTATATGTACCTTTGGATTATCCAAATACTTGCCTAGAATATATCCCACTGACAATGTCATTCTGAATGGAGTCTTCTTTTGACAAATTGGGGCCAGCAGCCTTAGACACAAGTAAAACCACCAGACCTCTCATCTGCAAATTATTCCTGGTGTCAGACACAAAGCCCCTAGAAAAGAGGAAGAAGAATCACATAAGTCCCAATACTTTATAGAATTCTCCTAAATTGATTTTTTGTCAAATGTGTTAGCTTCACAGAACACCAACCAATCATTATTCATATAATATTCCCAAATAGGGGCTTCAATGAGTTACACAGGGCGTTCTCGACTTACATCCATTCATTTAGTGACCATTCAAAGTTACAACAGCACTGAAAAAAGTTACTTGCTATGACCATTTTTCACACTTACAACTGTGGCAACATTCCCATGGCCATGTGACAGCTGCACTGTCCCAGGGTCTTATGATCAACATTTGTAACCTTACCAGCTGGTTCCTGACAACCACTTAACAGTCACAAGATTCACTTAAGAGCTGAAGAAATTCACTTACTGTATTTTTCGGACTATAAAATGCACCAGTGTATAAGACGCACCAAGATTTTGAGGAGGAAAGAAAGAAAAAAAAGGTGTTGTCCTCCCCAGGCTCAGGAACACTCTGCAGGCTTCAGCAGGGCTGAGGGAAGGAAAAAACACCCCCGTTTTTGCTAAAAATGGGGACATTTTTACCTTCCCCCATCCTTCCTGAAGTGTGCAGAGTGCTTCTGGGGGCTGGGGGAAGGGAAAAACGCCTCAGTTTTTGTGAAAAACAGCCCATTTTTCACCTGTTTTTTGCAAAAACGGGGGCATTTTTGCCTTCCCCTAACCCTGCTAAAGCTTGCAGAGTGCTTCTGGGGGCTGGGGGAAGGAGAAATGGCCCGTTTTTCACAAAAATGGGATGAGGGTGTGGTGCTTTGGCAGGCCAAAAATGGCTGTATTCAGTGTATAAGACGCACCAACCTTTCCATGCTCTTTTAGGAGGAGGGAAAGTTGCATCTTATACTCTGAAAAATATGGTAATAACTATGGCAAAAATGTTGTAAAATGGCACAAGTCACTTAACAACTCTCTTGCTTAGCAATGGAAATTTTGGGCCCCATTGCCATTGTAAGTTGAGGACTACCTGTAAATCCAATTTGAATAACCATTTAAATACTGAGGTTATTTTGAATATGCTAAATAACAATAATTTCTAATCATGTAAAGATACTTTAAACCATGATTCAGGCTACTTTTCTCAATGGTTCCCATTCTGAGAGCTCTAGCTTGCCAAAACTACTACTAGTCACAGAATTCCCAATTACTTTGTCTATTGGCCATTCTAGCTGAACATTCTGGAATTCAGAGCTTTAAAACTTGGCCAACAATGTGTCAACAAAAACCTCTCTTTATTCCAAGTTATACTTTAATTTTTAAAGATTCTTTCAATTAAGAAATAACTAAATTGAAAACTGGTGTGCCAAAGTTAAGTGCCAGCCTCAAGCTGAATTGTTACTTCCAAGAATGTTTCTTGTCCCTTCATATATGCCAGAGGCCTTTGTAAAAAGTCAAAATGACACAAGATTGAATCTCAGGGCTTTATTGGAACTATACTACGTAAGTATATATTCAGAGAGTACTAAAAATCCGAGGTTGTGTTCTTAAGGATCTATGCAAAACCAATTTCTTTCTGAGAACTACAGAAAACATTAATGTTTATTATGATGCTTGGATATTATAATAAATTAGCATAACATAGATCATTAGTTGATCAAAAAAATCTAACCAAGATCAGTCATGGAGACCAACAGGAAGTCTCAGGGCTATGAGCTAGATTGAAAAACCAAACAAAAATTGAAAAAGGCAATGACAAATTATTTTAATTGTTGCCAAGAACACGATAGGAACTTTGGAAATCGTTTATTTTTTGAAATAACAATTTTAAACTAGCCAGATGCAGCTGATTGAGTTGTCTTTAAACCAAAAAACGAAAACTGAATAAAATGTGATTCTGGAAAAACCAACATGTATTTCCTACATTTGATCCTGTTTATTAGACAAACTTCTTGATATATATTTGATCACTGATTCATTGTATTTGTATTTTGTATTTCTCACTGTTGCAAAACTACTAAAGCAACAGTTCATGTATTGGAGGCATTATGTTCAAGAGGAAGGTTCATTTTATGTAGCATATACGGAAGGGTGTAAAAATGCAAATAAAATTAATATACTATGGCATTAGAGATTGTATAGTTAAGCAGCTAACCATGAAGGTATTTTGCAAGTTGTACAACTGATTTAAATGAAATCAGTATTCAAACTAGGTGCTCAAAATTCTAAAGTTAGAAGAAAAGTTCTGTCTACACATCCATCTTCACTGAGATTGAATGAAAATGTAAATGAAGTAAATTACCATATGACAGAAAATACATAAAAATAGAATATAGAGACAGTGAAGCAATCTCTGAAATACTTCGTTTTTGTGAGAACATTGCTAATTCATAGCAACTCCATGTAGAGAAATAGTAGCCACTATGGTATTAAGCAAGGATACAGGCAGAAATGTATATAATATTGATGCATATGATCTAAACCAGTGGTTCCCAAACTTTTTCAGTCCACCACCCCCTTGGTGCTACAAACTGATCCTCCGTTCCCCCCCCCTCCCCGGTAGAATTCAATTTTTTTTACTACCAGTTTTGTGGGCATGGCTTGATGGGCGTGGCTGGGGGAGTCATATGACTGGGCTGTTTGCANAGCGAGCGTGGTCACCTCATGGCTGCTGCTGTGTTGCAATATTTTCAGGGTGGGCTTATTTTCAGGGGATGGATTATTTTAGTTCATACACTCAAAAGCCCGATTGGGCTTATTATCCAGGGAGGTCTTATTTTCAGGGAAACAGGGTAATAGAAAAGCTGGACTGATCAACCAGAAAGTCTTCAACCTTTTTGCAAACAAAATTTTACAGAGTGGATTTCCATTTGCGCAAAAGATCCTCCTTTCTGCCTGCAAACTTCCACACCTGGTTCAGGAAATACTACAAAGGATGGGCAGAGTTGCTGTCTTAATGATGTGTGCTGCACTGGCAGACAGCCACAGTTATATATCCTTCTGAAAAATAACAGATGAAAATGAAATAAATGTATGAAAAAAGTAGAGATTGTGGGCCTGGGATAATGATAGACACGAGAATATTCAACTCTGGTGGAGAAAACAAGGTTCTAGTATCAATGCAGCCACTTGCAAACAGATGGCTACAAGGAAAGCAGGGAAAGCCCTAATCCAGCATGGCCAAGGTAATGCAGCAGATGGTTGGCAGAGATGTCTCTAAATACTATCAGCATCACCTGTTAGGGCTAGATTTATTCCAAGCACACACTCCCAAAATACAATCCTCACTTTCAGAACTGACAGATCAGACCATCTGTTCTTGGAGAAAGATGGTAAGGAACTGCGTGGGTGGATCCATATAGGTGGTTCTTAGTTGTGTAGCTGGTCTTTATCTGCATACATGGATACTGGACTGGAACCTGATGTAGAAGACTTTCATTCTACTTCTCATGATGTGTAGCAAGACTGACTGTCTGTAATTCTCTTGTTACGTTTCCTATACACAAGTCCTAACCAGGCAAGTCACATTTGTTAAAAACAGCATGTCAAATAGTTCACCATTACAGACTATATCAATACATATTATGCCAGGTGGTAATGAGCCGTATACAAGGACTTATCCATCCAAAATAATCATACAGATTTCTACATCATTGTTCAAAAGGTTATGGTTTATTACACAGTACTCATTAGACATACACTGCCACCATTAGCAATTTTTCCTTCATTTGTATCTCATTTAAGATTCTACTTTCACAAGCAAATTCAAATTAGTACACAAGGTTAAAATCATTATGGTTAGGAATAAAATTATCCTGTCATTTTATGATATAGCAACAGTGGATCAAAGATCTCTAGTCTAGCACATTTTAAAGAACTAGTCAACTGAGTTTTAAGTAAGACGATAGGAATATACTCATCACATATTGTGTCGGATACCGTAAAAATGAGTTAATAGTCAGGTTGTTCTAAAAAAATATATTTTAAACTAGCAAAAACTCAAAAAAGTCATATTTCTTTTTAGCTAAGTGTTATTGTTTGAATACATTCACAGAAAACTAAAGAGAGAAAATTAATGCAGATAAGACGTATCCTATCCTATCCTTTGTTGGTGGAAGGAGATAATTGACTAGTTTACACCTGTTCTGGATGGGAGCATATTTTTCTATTAAAGAATTGTAGCTTCAGGGACTGTTGGATTTGGCACTTCTGCTGTTATATAGGTGTTTCACTATTATAGATAGCAATAGTGGTAAGATTATCTTTTATTACTAAACAAATAATCAGGATAGAGTACAAATAAGGAAATGCCAAACACAATAAGGAAACTCTGGCACCAATAAAAATTAATTAATGCTTTCAGAGCCTGTCTTTAATCTTTCAAATAATATAATACTTAGTTTTGCTGAAATTGTCCACTACTCTGGAGGTGGACAATTTCAATTGAATGAAATTGCAACTTTAATTCACTTCACCATACATTTAGGTATTGTATGGTTCAGGGGTGGGTTCTTACTGGCGTTGGTACCAGTTCGCTCAATAGCAGCAGCGACCGGGGAATCGGTTCAGGGGCATGGCCAGCCTGGGTTGCTGCCGGTTCTGCAACCAAGGCCAAATTACCACTACGGTTCACCTGAACTGATGCAAACCGGTAGGAAGCCACCTCTGGTATGGTTATTAATGTTTTCTCTTTTTATCTATTGGGAGATTTCTTTTCTCCATAATGTGTAATTCATGAAAATTGCTAACTACCAAAAAAAGTCAGTGTGACATATGCGTTGCAGTGTGATACTGTTTCTCTTGGATCAACTTTAACAATGAAATATTTGAAAGGAAAGAAAATGCTCATACTTAAGGAATCAAGAGCTTCCTTTGTATCCAAAAAAGCTTTCAGTAGAATATTGTCTTTAAAGAGCAACTTTCTATTATCGGTCTCATGTATTTCCACAGCTGGAGACTTAAAAGGCTCTCAGTTTTTATTTGTTTTGTTATGAATGCTTTTATGCTGCTTCAATGATCTAATTCTAAATGACTA